TTCTGCCCAGCTCTCTCCCATTTCCTGCCCAGTGTCACAGGAAGCCGCCGGCAATGTCGCAACTCCGCGTGCAGGGGACCCGCCCGCGTCCCCCCCCCGGTGTCCCCCCGGTGTCACCGCGGTGTCCCCGAGCCCCCTTTGGCTGCGGTGACTCATCCCGAGCGCAGGGAACACCCCCGCGACCCCCCCCGTGTCCCCCCCGGTGTCCCCGCGGTGTCCCCCCGGTGTCCCCGAGCCGGGACAGCCCCGGTGCCGCCTTTGGCCGCGGTGACTCATCCCGAGCGGGACTGGCACCGGGACTGGCACCGGGATTGGCACCGGGATTGGCACCGGGAACGCCTCGGCGCCACCTTTGCACCCCGGGGCCGCTGCCAAGCGAAACCCGGGCGGGAAAACCGGGACTGGGGGGGAAAATCGGGATTTTGGGGGGGAAAAACCGGGATTTTCTAGGGGAAATTGGGATTTTCTGGGGAAAATTGGGATTTAGAGGGGAAAAAAATTGGGATTTGGGGGGGAAAATCGGGATTTGGGGGGAAAAATAGGGATTTGGGGGGGGAAAACCGGGATTTTCTAGGGGAAATCGGGATTTAGGGAGGAAAAAAATCGGGATTTGGGGGGAAAAATAGGGATTTAGGGGGGAAAAAAATCGGGATTTGGGGGGGGAAATTGGAATTTTGGGGGGGGGGAAATCGGGATTTTGGGGAGAAAAGGGAGGAAAAAAATCAGGATTTGGGGAGGAAAATCGAGGTTTTTTTGGGGAAAATTGGGATTTTAGCAGGGGGAAACTGGGATTTGGGGGGAAAAATTGGGATTTGGGGGGTGAAATCGGGATTTGGGAGGGAAAGATCGAGATTTTGGGGAGAAAATCGGGATTTGGGGGGGAAAAATTGGGATTTTGACGATGTTTGGGTGGATTTGGAGAATAAACAAAGGGCAGGAACATCCCGAGGGATCAGCCCCGAGCCGGGGCCTGCCAGGACCGGGTTTAAATCAGCCGGGATTGGTAAATCCCGACCTGGTTTGGGTCCAGATCAGCTGGACCCGGGCTCATCCTGCCCCGATTTGGGTCCGAACCAGGCGGGATCGGGGAAATCCCGACCTGGTTTGGGTCTAAATAAACCGGGTTTGGGTCAGTCCCAGAGTGTTTTGGGTCAAATCATTTGGGATTGAGTTAATCCCGACCCGTTTTGGGTTTAAATAAACCGGGTTTGGGTCAGTCCCAAAGTGTTTTGGGTCAAATCATTTGGGATTGAGTTAATCCCGACCCGTTTTGGCTTTAAATAAACCAAATTTGGGTTAATCCCGATCCATTTTGGGTGTAAATAAACCAAATTTGGTTAAATCCGGACCCGTTTTGGGTTTAAATAAACCGAGTTTGGTTAATCCGGGCTCAGGCCGGGCCCGGCCCAGGCGGGAGCGGGTTAATCCCGGGATTGTTGAACACAATGGAGGGGACAGGAAGGGCCGGCCCCGCCCGGCGCCGCCGCCCCGGGACCCCCCGGGACCCCCCGGGACCCCCCGGGACCCCCCAGGACCCCCCGGGACCCCCCCATGGATTTCCTGCGGCGCCGCCTCTCGGACGGGAATTTCCTGGCGGGGGGGGGGGGGGGGGGGGGGCCCCCCCC